TCCATAGCGTATTTGGTGACACCAAACCAAAAGTAGTCATATCATAGAATCTTCCTTTCCGATCCCTCACTGACTCAGGAGGGAGGGCCAATCCCATGCCAATCCAGGGCCTATACCTAGGCCATTCGCCAGTGCAGCCCAGGCATCCTACTTCACTAGAACAATGACGTATGCTGACTACAGGATGAGACTCTGCCACAAAAATACGAAACAAAACCAACTCAGAAAATGGAATGCATCAGAAAATGGAAACTGAAGGAACTTTGTGGAAGTTACCAGGGCAGAAAACGTCAAAGCCAGGATCAGAATCCAGAATCCACATGTTCAACATAAAGGGTATCCAAATAACCATTTCCCACTTCCTGAAAGCACACCAGTCAGGTGACAACACACTTTCTGGTGAGGTGAGGGAGTCCCACACTCTGAAGAGCTCTCTGTAGGAGCTGTGACTGGGAGGAACTGGTGTACACTTTGGGGTGTTTCCTTACTGCGTGCCAGGTAGAGCCAGCTGTGAGCTCCGATTTCTCCAGCAGGACCACATCTTTCATGCCGGCCTTGGCCAGATGATAAGCCAGACTCACGCCCACGCAGCCGCCTCCAATGATCACCGTCTCTGCCGTGTCCTTCCATTCTTGCGGGGAGGGCGGGATTTCCTGTCTGGAAGACAGCATTTTTTAACAGTGGTGACTCACTTGCAGATAGCAGGTCCAGTTTGCATCCGATTCCCTTGCTTGCCTGTCTCTAGAACTCCACACTTACAGGCTGCACATTTTGCACTTAGAAACCTGGGGCATCTGAACCCTGGCTAGGCAACCCACACTGAACATGGCTCAGGAAATGAGCACCGGGGGCAGTGGCTGCTTCTTTCTCGATCTAGACATCATTTTTACCATTTAAAAAACACATTCTGGCCAGCCGGTGGTGGTGCTTGCCTTTAATCCCAGCACTTGGGAGGCAGAGGCAGGGAGATCTCTGTGAGTTTGAGGCCAGTCTGGTCTATACAGAGTGAATTCCAGGGCAGCCAGGACTGAACAGAGAAACTCTGTCTCAACAAACAAACAAACAAACAAGTCCCCCCCCCAAAAAAAAAAAAAAACAAAACACTCACATTCTGGGGCTGGGCTCAGCTGATAAAATGCTCTTCAAGTATGAGGGCCCAAGTTCAAGCCTCAGGATCCACGCAAATGGCGTT